GGGAGGGAGGGATGGAGGGAGGGGGAGGGAGGGATGGAGATGGAGGGATGGATGGAGGGAGGGGGAGGGAGGGAGGGGGAGGGAGGGAGGGATGGAGACAGCGCTCGCCATGAGTCTGGTAGATGGTACGTGGAGCCATGGGATGTCAGGGTCAGGCAAAGGGGTCAGAGTTAGGACTGGGAGCGCCCGGGGGGGGGGGGGTGGAGGGGGGGGGGGACGGGGGCTACAGCTTTCACGCGTCCTCCTCCTCCTCCTCCTCAGTGCTGCTCCACCAAAGCTAACAATGCCAGAAAAGAGGCTTAAAAAACACACAAGACATTTTTTTGTGTGTGGGGGAAAAAAAAAGCAGTTGCATCCCAGGTTTTTGCCCAAATGCAACAACAACAACAACATACACACACACACAAAAAAAAGTTTCACATTTCCGCTGATCTGACCACACACAAAAAAAATCCCCAGGTTTTTTTTTCTGGGGGGAGGGGGGTGGTGGGGGGGAGGGGGGTGGTGGGGGGGGAGGGGGGTGGTGGGGGGGGAGGGGGTGGTGGGGGGGGAAGAAGTACACACACGATTGCACACTTCGTAGCTGTTTTTTTCCCCCCCGCAGGACTTGTGCAAATTGGCTACCGGGTTCGACTGCTGTAAACGCAGTCACTACACTTTGCAGCGCGATCCGTGCAGACCCTTTTTTTTTTGAGACACCTCCACCTCACAACGTCGCTCTGTTTAAAGTGTGGGATTATTTTATTGCTCACCCACCTTCGCGTCTGTGGCTGTTAAATTTAAATGAAGTGTTTCATTCGGTGGGAAGATTACACAACTTAATAATAATAATATAATCATAATAATCCTCGCATTTGATAAGAGCGCTTTTCATCGTCGGGAGGACGTCCCAAAGCGCTTCACAGAACACACTGTAAAGTGAATTGACTGTATATTTGTGGGCGAACGCGGCGGCCGATTGCGCACAGCAATGTCCCACAGACAGTCGTGGATCGAAAATGACCAATTTATTATTGTTTTGGGGTTTTTGGAGGGATTATGGTTAGGGCTCTGTGTGGAGTAAGGAAACTTGCCCGAGGTTTGGCCCTCTGCCTGGGATTGAACTCAGGTCTCTCACTGCGCAAAGCGAGTGCTCTAACCACTGAGTTACAGGACTCCACTCCGTAACTTGCATTTATGCAGCACTCAGGATAACACCTCTAAGCGCTTTATACATTATAAATGTATGTTTTGTGGTCAGCCTCACCTATGGAGACACCTACATCTCAAGGCCACCCAAAAAGGCATCCGCCACGCTCAGCACATGCGTGAAACCATGTAAAACTTTTGATTTGTAAAAAAAAAAATACTTTTTATTAATTTTAACCGGAAAAGTTCTCTTAATAAGAGCTGCTGCTCTGTGTATTGGATGTGAACTCTTTGGCTTCAAATTGTACACCAGGCATTGTAAGGCAGAGGTTACACATGTGAGGTGGACAATTATAGCCACAGACAAAAAGGTTGGGGGTGGGTGGGGGGGTGTAGAGAGAGCAGAAAATGCAACTTTATTGCAGATGTGCAGTGAAGTAACACATAGTAAATTTCAGATGCGGTTCCCATTTTTTAGAAGGGTGGAAAGAGTGGGTCACTGCGCTTCACAGTAAACTCTGTGAAGCCTTTCGAGACATCTCCACGCGATAACGTCACAGAACGTCAATCCAATTACATTGCTCACCTTTGAATCAAGTCATTTGTCGGCCGAGATCGTTTGAGCTTGCAAAAAGCTTTGACGAGCGTTGGCTTGAGTGGTATAAAAACATTAAAAGCATGAGTACAGAAACCTTACTGAAACGCCCAAATATCCCGGGTGGGTCCCGTCAGATCAGGTATAGGGGGTTGGTTAGATGGTGAAGGTCCCATTGAGCAGTCTTGGATCGAGTGTAGCCCGTTAGCAGCAGAAAAAAAGGTTCCCTCGTTACTGCTTCTTAGGTTAGTTACAGATTAGATGCAGGGTTCGCCTCGGCTTTAACAATGTGCTTCATTTCCAGCATTAGACAAGCCCCCCCTACTGCATCATTTTGACATTTCTTGCACCTGCTTCTCTGGGAAATACAGCTACTTTAGTAATGTACAAACGAGTGCTCAATTATAGCCAATTCTGTGATGTGCCCGTGCGCTCTCTTGTAATTGGATTGAAGGATTGAGACTCGCTTAATCTCGGGACCCTTACAGCTGGATCCCACCGACCAGCTCTTCATCTGTGCCTTCCTTTTTGGGCTCTTTCACCTGTCTGGTGAAAGTTCAAGTCATTATTTTTTTTGACTGATTTAGGAAAGCAGAAAATGTATCCTTGGAACGGAGGTATTGAGAGCGCTCTCAAATGAACATAGCCTTTGCTCATCTGACAACTGCATTACACTCAGCAGTTACATTCATCTGAAAGCCATCAGATGTGATTCTCTAAAGCCAATGGTGATCACTATTGGAGTGTAAAGAAGCTGGGTCTGTTTTCCTGCTGATATTCTTGCCTGAATCTCTCAAATCCAGCTCCAAGGTATGGACTGGGAAAAGGCCATTCAGCCCCTGAAGATTCCACACATTCTCTATAGAAAGGATTACACAATTCCCTTTTCTCTGCAAAGGCAAAGCCTCTCGACAAGGTAGGTTTCTGGTTTCAGCAACTCACGAATTATGCTCCAGACCCCATTTCGTCATCTTTTTATTTATCTCGATACCATCACAATACTCTTCCTAAACAGGTAGGCCAAAAAATAAGCATTTTCTTAAAATAAAAATGAAGAGATACATTTTTCCTCACAAGATTTTATTTTAATGCATCAGTCTTCTTATCGTACATTAAATAATTAACAATCAGTTATGAGATTATCCTTCATTTCTCCAAAATAGCATTCTGTTCAGTCTTAATTTGTGGAACTGCTACTAGAAAATAAAGCTTCAGGCAGATTTCTACTCAAAACAATGGGGTGGGGAGATCACATGAAATTCATTCAATGTCATTACCCGTAGTGGCTAGTGTGAAATTGTTTGCAAGAACCATAGGGATCATCTTTTCGATGTGTTATATTGCTAACATTATTTTCATTAAAGAAACAGCAAATAGCTTTATGAAATTGTAAATTAGACTCAAACGGTTTTGTTCTCAAGTAGTGAATTATAATAATCTCTGCAGTTGATATAACAACAAATTACATTTGTATAGCGCCTTATCACGTCTTCGAGACATCTCAAAGCACTTCACAGAATATATTGTAAAGTGAATGGACTGTATATTTGTGGGCGAAACGCGGCAGCCAATTACACACAGCAGCGTCTTACAAACAGTCGTGGATTGAGTGTCCGAATTATTTTATTATTTTTTTTTGAAGGAATTATAATGAATGTGAACAGAATGATATTACAGAATCTTCCATGTGGCTCTAGATTCACTTAAAACTATGCAGATTACTGGCTACAACGGCAGTTTGATAGTTATGCAGAGAAATGGAAAGACAACATACATGATGGCCTTTGAGTTAACAATAGAACGTTAGGAACTCTTGAAGATACTGATGCCGGCTAAATCGTAAATGTTACAATCCGGAGAAATTTCACATACAGCTGTAACTGTCACAACATACAATGTATTACATTATTTGCAACAGTATTGGAAGATAATACAATTTTCTTAACCTTGAAATAAAACTAAATTATCCAAATAGAACTCCAGGTTCTCGCTAAAGTCAATTAGACTAGTTTACACAAATTATTCTAAAGTTTGCAAAAAAAATTAAAAAACAAATAATCACATCGACTATTAGTACTCATTATAGGGTTTAGTAATTTGCAAATTAAAGCTGATAAATAAGATTTGAGATCTTGATCATCACAGCAGCAATTAATGGGATACAACTGTAGAGCAACAATGGTACAATAAACCAAACCTACAAAATAAATCTTTGAAATTTGTTATCGTTCATTGTAATGCAACATTCTTATATAGGTAACACATCAGTTACAGTATTTCTACAGGTCACAAGTAGGCAGAGAGAAAGGCAAAGAACACAAATTGCACGAGGCAACATGTTACAATCTACAATGTTATTCACATTTTGTTTTAAATGGAAGATTTCCAAATCTTACATATGCATATTCAAGATGCTGTGAATACCAAGTACCGCACTAAGCATTAGAACGCGGTAAAGATGAACAATACATTCTGAAAACAAATGGGACATTTTTGGTTGTCTTACCTCACTGTACAAGAGCAATTTTTTTTTAAGCAAAGAGCACAATTTAACAC